GGACTGCAGCACACCAGGCCTCCCCGTCCATCACCAACTCCCAGAGTTTACTCAAACTCAGATTCTTTGGGTCGGTGATGCCATCCAACCATTTCACCCTCTGTCATCCCCTTCTCCCACCTTCCAATCTTTTCCAGCATCAGGGTCTTTTCCAGTGAGTCAACTCTTCACATCAGGTGGCCAAAGTACTGGAGTTTCAGCTTCAGCATCAGTCCTTCCAATGAATATTTGGGACTGATTTCCTTTAGGATGGACTGGTTGGATCTCCTTGCAGTCCAAGAGACTCTCAAGAGTGTTCTCCAACACCACAGTTCAAAAGCATCAATTCTTCAGTGCTCAGCTTTCTTCACAGTCCAACTCTCACATCCATACATGACCACTGGAAAAACCATAGCTTTGACTAGACAGACCTTTCTTTGCAAAGTGATGTCTCTGCTTTTTAATATGCTGTCTAGGTTGGTCATAACTTTTCTTCCAGGGAGCAAGCGTCTTTTAATTTCATTGGGAAGAATACAGTATAAATAATGCATCTTTTTTAGTACATCTCATTAGGAGGTCACTGTCCTTTTTGCACACCGAGAGACCCTTTAAAAGACCGTTCCTTTCGACATCGTCTGTCACAGCTTCCTTGCTTTGTGGAAAACAAGATGTTCTGAGTTTCTTTGGTACATTTCATGCCCATACCCAGGATCAGCTGTTTCTCCAAGAGGTCCTGTTTCCTTACACTAGAAAATGATACCGGAGAACATAATCTGGGCCATAGAGGTGCCTGCTATGACTGGACTGGTCACTGTTTCTAGCCTCTTCACTAGCGAGTTAGGAAGTTTTTTAAAGAAAAATATACCTTAAATTTATTTTACTTTGTAATTCATACATAAAAGGTTTCCAGGTACTTGATTTTATATTTTTATATCTTTCTCATGAGGAAAATATTGGTCCCTAGTTTATAGGAACATAATTATTTGCTTTTCCTTATTGTTCTAATTTCAAAGTAATATTATCTGTTACTAAAATAGGAAAAGTTAAAATAGATTAAGATCCGTTTGTAATTAATCTTGTGAATATATCCCAGAGTCAGAGCACTGTGCTTAAAGTTCATCTCAACTCTGGTAACTTCTACTTTCATAAGGAACTGTTTTATTAATTATCTATTGATCTTTAAAAACGTATGCAAATTAAAATAAATTCATGTTCCTCAATATAAAAGGTAACACGTGTCATGGGCTTTGCTTTTTCCACAACATAGTATATCCTGGAAATTATAGAGATCTTTCTCATTCTCTTTTACACCTGCATATTACTCCACTGTGTATGTTAGACTTTTAGTCTTTGCAATTACTATGTTATAATCTGTATGTTTTAAAAATATGTGTAATCTAAGTATACACTCTCAAAGAATTGAAAATAGGACTCAAACAGGTACTTGGATGCCAGCGTTCACAGCAGAATTATTTTCAGTAGTAGATAGGTGGAAACAGCCCAGATGTCCATAGAGATGAGTGGAGTAACAAAATGTCATATACACACACCATGGAGTGTTACTGAGCCATGGAAAAGGGATACATACCACATGCATGAGCCTTGAAAACAAGTATTATGTTAAGTGAAATAAGCCAGACACAAAAGGGCAAATGCTGGATGATTCTGCTTTTAAGAATTAATCTAGGACGGGCAAGTTCACAGAAAGTAGATTAGAGGTTTCCAGAGACTGAGGGGAAGGGGAGAAAGGAAAGCTACTGTTTAAAGAGGTAGGGAGTTTTTGTTTGGCATGATGAAAATTTTTTGAAATAGTGGTTGGCGATGATTGCACAATAGTGTGAATGTAATTAATGTCACTGAATTGTGCCTTTGTGTGTGTATATGTAATTAGCAGTAAATCTCTTTGAAATATTTTTTTTTTTTTTTTTTACCAAAAGAAAAGATTTTTTTTTTTTTTTCTATCATGGTTTGTCAGGGACTTTTGGAAACAGAATGCATTATTTATTTTCTACAAAGCATAATTGCTGGCAAAACCACTCTAGACTATGGAAACAGCTTTCTTTTGTTTCTTGTATGATTTCTTGAGAAACAAACCTTCGGCTTTCTTTATACCCCTTATGTTCTGCCAGGAAGCAACTGCTAACACAGAGCAACTGCAGCAAATAAAAAATCAAACTGTGCATTTCTTTCCAATCCTGTTTTATACACTGAATCCTATCGCCTCTGCATTCCTTCCAACCTACAAGACAATTCACTTTTTCCTAAGGGGTGAAGCAAAAGTACCCCTTTTACCAGAGTGTTATCAACCACTGACTTAAAGGATTAAGAATAAACTGTAAAAGGTGTCTGCCAGTATCCTGGGGATTTGCTTGTTTAGTTTGGAGCAAATCCTTCCATAGGCAAAGCAGGCCACATAGGAGTCTTGATATGAAATGGATGGGTTTCTCCCTAGATAATTTTCTGAACTGACTGCTTTTTCTTTCCTTGTCCCAGTTCTAATGCTTATTTCTGATCATATAGCATGTTACAGCCTCACAGATTTTGGTGTTCACCTTTGTGCAGTACTGGGTGTTGATATAACCTTGCCATCATTGAATCACTGTGGTCAGGCAAAGAAGACTATCTGACTGGCCGGCCTAGGTGGAGGAGTCTTTTGAAGGACAGTGTGAAGTGGGGAAGCGGCGATGCCCCAAATGAGGAGCAGGTTATTACTGCCGGTTGACAGCGGGTAGAATGTAAGCCAAGAAGAGTAGTCAGTTTGGTGGTGGTTGAGTCTCTCAGTCGTGTCCGACTCTTTCGACCCCCGTGGACTGTAGCCCGTCAGGCTCCGCTGTCCATTGGATTCTCCAGGAAGGAATACTGAAGTGGGTTGCCATGTCCTCTTCCAGAGGATCTTCCCACCCCAGGGATCACACTTGCGTCACTTTTGTCTCCTGCTTCGGCAAGCAGGTTCTTTACCACTAGCACCACAGGGAAGCCAATATTCTTGAACAGTGGAAGCCTCATAGGAGTGAGAGGGCGGATTCCCATGAGATCTTTGGCACAGCGACGAATGCTTATTTGTGGGTAAGATTTCTTGTAACAAGTACAAGTGCAGCCTCAGTATTATTTGCTAGAACGCTGTAAATATTATCAAACTGACAGAGACAGGTGGGCTGTCAGAGGACTTGAAGCATCTTCTTTAGCTTCTCCTCACTAGCCATTCATTTGGTGTAGCCTTCCAAGAAGATCATCCTGACAGTGAAGGAAGCAGCTGCTCAGCCACCAGCTCCCAGGGACGGGAGGTGAAGAATCTGCAGGGATTCCTGTGCTCGCTCACGTACCCTGCTGACTGAGTCTCAAGGAGTCATGCCATTCGTGTCCAGAACCCAGGACAAGGTCACACTGACGTTACCATTTAGTGAGTTCAGTCTCCGGGCTCCGAGCTGCTCTGCACTGAGACAGGAATAGAAAGAAGAAGGAAATGGGAAAAGGAAATATTATAGGTCAATGATGAATAAGGAATTTGGGAGAAACTGTTCAAGCATTTGAGTTCCTGGAGCATTTAGCAAGAACTCTAAATGGCCTGAAATAGGTCTCTAAGCTTAGACCTTAAAAGGAACACCTGCATCTTTTGATGATAACAAGTGTTATCATCAAAATAAAGTGAAGTCAGTCAGTCATGTCCGACTCTTATGTCCGACTCTTTGTGGCTCCATGAACCGTATGTAGCCTACCACAGTCCTCCGTCCATGGGACTTTCCAGGCAAGAGTACTGGAGTGGGGTGCCATTTCCTTCTCCAGGGGATCTTCCCAACCCAGGGATTGAACCCGGGTCTCCCACATTGTAGGCAGACGCTTTACCATCTGAGCCACCAGGGAAGTCCTTCATCAAAATAAGATAACATTTAAAACCGAAATGTAACAGTTATTCTTCCATATGTTTTCCTAAGTGTTATATCTTCCTATATTTTATTAGTCAGCGAAACCATGAAGTGGACATAGTCATCTTTTGGTGTCCTCATTTTACAAAGGAAAGAACAGGCTCAGAGAAGACGCCTTTCCCCGGGTCGCACGGCTGTGAAGAACACAGGCATTCTCTCATGTCCCAGCACAGTTCTTACTGTCATTCACTGTGTAACTGTGAGCGTCTCCTGTGTGCTGGAATATGACGACGACCACAGCAAACTCCGTGTCCTTACTCAGTCTGTGGTTTTTTAATAAAGGAGCGCCCCACAATTGCCATATAGAATGACAGTGAAGACACTGCAGAGGGCCTGTCTGAGACAATGTATGATATTCAGAAACGTCTGACATCTGGTTCAGTTTACGTTTCTGTAACCACGTGAGTAAAGCCTTAAGCTTTCCACCTTCTTCGGAAAACTGCTTTTCACCTTCCTAGCCTTTCACAGCCTTAGGCCAGCCTCTCAGGGCAAGCGTGTGCACAGTGGGGGTTGAAACTTGTGCTGCTCGGGAAAGAATGTTTTCCCCAGGCCTGGACACAGACCTCAGCCACTCTTCCTTCAGGGCCCAGCTGACTTCTAGCAGGTAACCGTATCCTGGTGCAGCGCAGATGCTGAGTAAGTTTATTCAGTCAGTGGACGGAGGTTCCCTGGGTCCAGCCTCCAGCTGAACTGAAGCGGTTCTGCTGCTTCTGCATCACTTTACCTTCACCCACATATGGATCTCCTGGTATTTCTGTCGCCTGGGCACTTGTATTGTTGCTATAGTTTTTTGTTATTCTTTACTAATTGAATATGACCATATTCTCCCCCCAAAAGGTAAATTCCATTTTTGTTCCAGAACATCTCAAGCTTCCAGATCTGGAACCTTAAAAGAAGCACAAATAATCCCACTGTAATGTTTCTATAAGGAGTAGCATTGAAACTATTGGAAGATCAAACATGTCAACATACAGATGTTTGATTTTACAGTATGTTTGCACTGTTTTATACAGTATGTAAAGTTTAATGGTTTTGGGATCTTACTAGTATCAGGTTTCAAGAGCAATTAAATATTTGTTATTTTATCCTAATTTTCAGGTAAAGAAGATACTCCCTCATTACTTGGTCTCTGTGGGTCTTTAACATCAGTGGCAAGTTACAAATCTCTAACAAGCCTAAAATCAAATGACTACCTTGCAAGTCCTACAACAGAGATGACAAGTCCAGGTCTGACTCCATCCTGAAAAATTGTATGTAAAAGCCAGAAGTTTTTATGTTGCAAATATTCCATATACGTAAGTTTGACTGCTGGGAAAATCTTTGGAACTTTATATTGTTCTGAGACATGTCTGGAATTCTGTTGCTTATATGAGAGAATTTAGTCCATTCCATGTAAACTTCTGGGTGAAAAAAAAAATGCTGCCATTTTTCATTTTAAAATGATTATATTTGTGACTGAAGTTTAAAACACAGGCTTAAAAAACTTTCAGATATCCTCTAATAATCCATTGCAAATTGTACATATTTATTATTCAGCTGATTTTCATATATTTAAATGTATCATAGTTGCCAGACACCGAGTTCAAGGTTTTATTCTAGATACTTAAGTATTTTCTTTTGCTCTCTTATTCAATTACATTTTCAAAAAATGACATTTCATTTTTCATGAACTTCCCAGGTTCTGATGTTTAAATGCCTTGTCTTTGAAATGAGGAGAAAGGTTCTCAGCTGTAGTTTCACAGCAGTTTATTCAGTTTAACAGTTGCCATTTAGTATCAACCTAACATTCCATTCAACGTTTTATTAATTTTGTAGGATGTGCCTTTAGGCAGTTACTAAATTTGTTCGGGTCACAAGGAAAGTATTTTACAGTATTTTAGGCCATTTAGGTAAAATGAATAACATTTTGTTTTCCCAAAATTTCCTTTAAAGTTTACCAATTTAAAAATTGATCACATTTATGTCCTATAAATTGGAAAAACTTAAGGATGTAGAACAGATGTTGAAAATAATTTCATCAGGAGAGATTTCAAGTTTGTTTAAGGCTTTGAGAAGTTTTAAAATAATGATCAGTAGGCTAATCACCATACTTAACATCTGACATCCAGTACTGTTTTTCTTGTGTGCAAGAAGAATTGTGTCTTACGTGCTTTAACAGCTTCTGTCATTAATCATGCCATAATCTCATTTTAAAACTGACCTTAAAAATTACTAGTTGAAAGTTAGTTTTATTAAAAAGCTCTGAGCTGTCTTTTAAATTTTTGCAAATTTTGAAACAACTGTACATTTGGTCCCCCCAAATTCCACTATATTGAAAGAGAAAATATATGAAGTATATTTTCTAGAGTAAGTAGTATGAGGAAAACATGATCAATTGTGCCAAAGATGTTTTATACATTGTTTACATGAAGAGGCTACTACAATACTTATCTGGGACTTCGTATGCTACTTTTTATTTGTTAATAAAACACTACATTCAAACTTAGTAACTTTGACTGTAGAAAGAACATTCCTCCTAAAATATTGAGAGAAAAGCAGCATTTACCACAGTCATTCCTTGTACTAGAAATGTGGGAGTGTGGTGGTTCTCTGCAATACTTTACTCTCATTATTCAGAATTTAAGATAATAAACAGTAACAAGGCTACTCTTATGTGAAGACAGTTCAAACACTGTCATTTCAGGGACAAAGAAGACCTGGAAGCCCTTAAAAGAAATTATTTAGAGGCATCAGAACACACTCAGAGCTTGCTTCCTTTAGCTTAAGTCTTTAGCACTTGTAGTAACGCAAATCTTCTTGAGAAATGGTACCATCAATCTAGTCTGATTCTGTATACCTTATTGTGAATGATGTATCTACAGCAGTTTGTAACTCAGCAAGGGGAATGGAAGGAAGGTTGAAACAAGGGTACTGGAAACCTTGGGAGGAGCGAATGAGAAACGATTAAGGGCAGGGTGGGGGAACTTCAAAAATTTCAGGCTGGCCTTAAGCACTGTTGCTGCTGCTTTCGTAACAACAGTCAGACTATTTAAATGCTTTCATTCATGGGCTACTCTCAAATGACATTATCCTTCAGTAATTAAAGAAAATCACTATTACATTTTCCATACATTTTTATAGTACAGAAAGGAAATACAGGATTCCCTAATTGATCAAAATTTTCGGATTTGTTCTGATGTGTACAGAACCTTGTGCATCTTAACGCGCTGCTGAACGCAGACTGAAACATGACAGCTGAGGACAGTCACTTTTTCTCCTTTCTTGGAGCTCTTGGTATAAGATGGATCTGCTAATGTGACTTCAGGTTTCTACACAGTTCACTTCATGCTAGTTTTAGAGAGAGAGTTTGTTAATGTTTGCATGAGGTATGTCTCGATCTTCAGTAGTGTTCATTGTTCACACACCCTCCCCTAAACAGAATGCTGAACTATATGCCACTATTTCCATGTGTATTTTGTTGCCTTGATGTACGATGATAACTTGTTGCATGTATATTAAACATTTTGTACCATGCAGTAGTAGTCTTATTTTTTCTTTGACAAAATGTTATTTGATTCAAGGTATACACTGAATTTTTGTTTCAACAAATGTGGTAAGTGTAATATTAACACCTCAAATACTAATATGAAAATGATTTTGGAGAAATCTTCCTTTTGTTTGAAATTACTTTTCATTTTCTAAAAAAATGACATAATATGGTTTAAATTGACAACATTCACTCAAGTGGTACAGTACAGTAGTGGTTTTGGCTGAGTTGTGATTTAATTATGTAACAACCCTGTTTGTTTTCTTACCTGTAAAATGGACCCACCCCCATCCTCTCAGCACCTATGTGATGGCATCAGGATAAAGTCAACATTAAATAGAATTATAAGTTCTGAAGCGGTAAGTACCAAATGCAAACTACTATTAACTGTGACTGACAGGAACCTTAAACATCCAAGCAGACTAAGTTGGTTTTAAGTCATCTTATTAGATGTACATACAAATTTTCAAGTGGTTAAAAATGTTTCTCAAATTTACAACTTATGTAAATTCTTTGTTAAATTTCCTATTGTTGGTTATAGTTTCTAGTTTTGATAAATTAATACACTGGATTACTCTGGAAATGTCACATGACTGCTTTGAACATCAGGGCTCTTAATTTCTTTTACCTAGTCCACTTTGCTCTTTAGTAAGCAAAGCAACTTCTATTTTGCTTTAGCTTTTTTTCCCCACTGATAGGGGAAGATAAAATTATACCAATGCCATGGTGGTACCTTTTAAAAATATACTTTAGTATAAACCAAAACTTTTGTTTTTAAATAGGTCACCTGATCATAAGTCCCATTTTTCATTCTGCCAGTCATTTTTCTAAAACCAGCTTCACTATACAACACTTGGTCTTAATATGTGACACATTCTGGTGTTTTCTGTTTTATTCTAGGCTAATCTATGCTATCCTATTTTCTTTCAGTTTAAAAAAGAAAAGGTCTTGAGAGAAAAACAAAACCCAACTCTGTAACTTTTCAGAGCTGTGCCCAAAATAACTTCCTTAGTTTTCTCTTGCTTTCTTGCTCCTCCTTTGGCAGACCAGGACCCTTGGACTCCTTTTTCAATCTGATCTACCACGTGGCATGTATACTCTGCTCAAGCCACTGGTGCAAAGTAACACTGCCTGATTGAAGACTCCCAGCCTCCAGGTATGTTGCCTTGGACTCCCTAAGTACCACTTCCTGACCAGTCTCTGCACCCCCAAGCCAGGGGAGAATTCTTCAGCTTTTCCATTACTTCTTTTGTTTATTTCTAACAATCACAGCTGAAACCTTAAGACCAATGAGAGTAGCTGAAATGTCTTACCTCCAGTGCTTTTTATGTTGCCTACCACATAAAAGGACTCACCTTAGTAAGTGTTGAGTGATGGATTAAAACATAATAACAGTAATTTACTTTTAAAAGTTCATTTTGGACAAAAATTAAAAAGTAATACACCAAACATTCCCATATCCCTGGAATTTGTGCCCCAGGGCGGTGGCGGGGGGGGGGGGGAGGCTAGAATTAAAGGAGTCAAATGTGGCTAAATAAACATAGTGGATAGTTTTCCTAGAAATAACTTTATTTTTAAAAAGTAATATAGAATTATATGAAAGGCAGCAAGCATGTAATACTTGGATAAGACATTTCTCTTAAAAAGCTTACACATAAGAAATGTGTATGTTAGAAATTTTAACATTAACAGAATGCATTTAGAAACATTACCAAGAATACAATTTGTAGCCAAACCTTTTTGGTTCCTACTAGTGATGCTTTTTTACCACTTAAGTATAGACAAAGCATAAATTCAGACTTCTTTTCTTTCAGATACATTACATGTAATGTATGTTACAAAAACTACAGGGAATTAGGTTTATTTTAAGTTCTTTTAGTTATAAAATAAGAATTTTCCACAATGCAGTCAGTAGTGGGGCAAGAAGAGGATGAAAGTTCCCTTCTGTTTATAAGTGATATTAACTTCAAATACATAACTGTTTTTTGAGACTATTCAAAACCTAAATTTTTCTCTTTTCCTACCAATTAGCCAAAAGAAGCCAAGCAGAACAAAGGTAAATTTAAATTTAATACTGTTCAAATCAGTGTTCAAGATAAACTTCCATGTGTGTTTTATATATATGTTGATAGTATAGCATTAACATAATTTTATATGAAAGTATTTAGCTAGAAGCACACTGGTAGCTTTAAGAAAGCACAAAATATTTCAGTGAAAATATAAATATATTTTTATGGATATATATGTTGCAAACTTAAAGTAAATCAACACAGGATAAAATAAACACAAAAAGTTTCAATACAAACCCTATATAGTTTATTTCTGGTGAAACATAAATAGTTTTCTACTATATTAGAAAATACATTAATTCCTACCAACACTAGAGATTTGTCACTTAAATATGTATTACTCTATTTTAGGGAAAAAAATGTTTCACATTTTCATAAAATACAGATAGACTGCAATAAAGTGCATTTTCTTAAGAGTATACAGATCCTGAGAAAAACAAAAATATTAAAGAATATTGTCTTGAAATCATATTCTTTTTCATTGTTACATTCATAAACTAAACTTCTTAGGCATTAGCCTCCAGTGACCAAAAGCTCTTTCTTCAAGAAAGCTGGCTTGGTAGTTCTTTGTGTAGCACACTCATGTGAGATGTGTAAAGTCAAGGGACATCTGGAACATACTCTGTCTCAGTGATGTCAGAACAAGCGAACAGACGTGACCTAGAGAACTTCACAAATGGTAATACCAGATGACAAGACAGCTGAAACCAGAGGCCTTTCTTGTGCTGAAACAGCATTCTCACTAGCCTGAATACAATGTGGTTTTCCACTGGACACCCAAGTTTGACTGAAGTGAACATTTAATACGGTTAGTAAATGCTCTCTGTCAAAGAAACCGTAGATAATACAGGGTCTTTAAACATCAAAAATAGCAGCATCAATATCACACAAGTTATATTTTTGGTTCATGAACATAAGATAGCCATACCTCTGATCAGAGAAATCTTAATACACATGAGGCCTTAAAACAGTAACAGGGTGGGGGGAAAAAAAAACCCAAATATATGTGAATTAAAGAAAATAACTGATAGGCAATATTTGGTAAATGATGTGAATAATAATATTTAAAGACTGGTTTCGTTATCTACTTTGTTGAAACAATTATCTACGTCCATGATTTAAATATGTATAGACTCTACATCATTCAGCATGCAACTGCAAAAATGTTCGATGTCTCTTGACACTCCCAACAGGATGAAGTTACATAGAAATCTGTACCAAACTAAGATCATTGCTTTCAGTGTAGAATAATTTTTCTCTTCTTTACAAGAATGCTCAATGGTTATGATTTCTGGAATATCTTTTTCAAATTCTCAAAATTTAGGATAAAAATTTGAAGTTAGAATGATTAAATGCAAAGTAGAGATTTACTGTTCATTTAAATTATAGATAAGAATGCTAGAAAACCACTGTAAGATAATAGCGAAAAAAGTGAAAAAAAACTCTTGCCCAAGAGTCTCCTCTTATTATTTGGTCATGGTTGTTATTTCAGGTTTAAACGGCATCTCTAGTATTGCTGTCTTTGAGCATTTTGTGTCTGGAAGAAAGACTTTCCAAATTCATATGTACTGATCGTAACAGCACAAGCAGGAGCAATTTTAATTAAATGAGGAATCAGTCCTAAAAAGGGAACAGAAAAATTCAGACCAAATTTTACCTTACATTTTAAAATGTAACTTATTTGGTTTCATTCTGACAGTTATCAAATTAAGTGAAGTAACATAAAAAACACTGTACCATAACTGGTGTCAAAGAACAAGCCGAACCATTCATTCCTCACTTTAACTCCGAATTACTTCAAAAGCAACTGGTATTTAAAAATTTTAAACTTACAGCAAAGATATTTAGGAGGAAATAGTAAATAAGGAATATTTTCAAAAAGTTTCTGCTGAAAGGCAATTAATTTAAAAAGGAAAAGTAAACATTTTAGTCAACAGTTTGGTAAAGGAAATATTTTTACTTGTAAATAATCCAGAAAAGCCATTCTTAGCAACAGTGTTCTTCATTATAGTCCAGGTTGACATTTGCAAAGGCACAGAAACTGCATGTTAAAGAAACGATGCTATTATAAATCACCACTTAATGTCTAACATAGGTGAGTACACATAAAGGAGTGTCCATGGGCTTTGGGATGTATCATCTCATCATAATAAGAACAGACCTGTTTACCTAAAGAACTATTTTAAATCTTATTTTTAATAGTTGGAGTCATTAAAAAGAAATTTTAAAGGCACTTTTAAGGTACATAGGACCAGATGCCATGAAGGAGGAGGAATATACAGAAAGCCTCTCCTGAATTGATGTTTAAGCCTGGTGGTGTGTATCCTTTATCTTAAAAATCTTTCATAATGAAAAATTTTAAAGATGTACAGGAATTTTCATGGGGTTCCCAAGTGAAGCTATGATAACCTTTTTTCATTGTACTTTTAGTGCATACATTAAAAAACCTTTTTTCCCCTAAGAGAAGCTTTAAGGAAAATAGCTCATTCTACCTAGGAGGTTCCACATTATTAGAATCTTTCTGAATAGATGCGCCAGTCTTGAAATAAATCAGTCCTGCCTCCTCTGAGGGGACGAGTTCTCCTGTAACTAACAGTAACATCTCACTTATTTGCAACTACTCAAGTGTCTGGAACACAGTAAAGAAACAGATTTATACATCTTTTGAAAACAGCAAAAATAGATGTTACTCAGATTCAAACATAAACCTCATGAATCAGCTGTACATACGCAAAGTTCACCTACCTTCGTCGCACACAATGATTCTAAGCAGCTGGCTTAGCCCACAGACGCTAAAGGTGAAAAAAAATGCACTAAAAGGTGGGCATCCGACCATGAGAACACGGTGACAGCTGAAGATGTCAGTCTTGCCCAGACCGGTGGGTGACAGGCCAGCACTCCTAAGTGGCCCTCCACTAGCGTCTGAGAGCTGCGTTACGAAACCACAGCAATCAGTGTGCACAGTGACGACAACTCTGAGTCTTTAGCATTAAAGTACATTTTAGGAAGTATGCCCAGCGAACAAGGGAAAATCAGGGAAAGGTGTCATTCAGTAATAGCTCTGCAGAATTTGCAACTTAATGAAGAGGGGCTCATTATCTCAAAATTTCTTTTATATAATATCAGATTCTCTATGAAGATAAATGAGGCCTTGTCATTTAGGAAGCTAATCTATCTATATAAATAGTGTAACTACAGTAATTAGAGCAACCAAACAGAAAGGATACATTTTAAAACCAAGAATAAAGTATTTATGACTGAAATTTATCTCTCTAAAAACAGTCAGTGACAAAAGCTTTATACTACAAGTTGGCAACTTATACTCGTTGTTTAAATGTTTTCAATTTTGGAAACAACTAGTAAAGAAAGGAGGCTAAGTAGCTGGGTATTTCTAATCTTATGGAGCTCAACTTCCAAACTGGTCTCTATTTTAATAGGAGGGTGAGATGAATGTAAAAGAAGACAAACAAAAAGACTTCTCAACTGGAGGTAAGCCATGGCAGAGCCCTGCCTAAAGCTCCAACATCCAAGAGCTCTTTCTACAGGGGAAAAGCAACTTCATACACTGTAAGGAAACACTGTGTGATTATTCAAGCACAGACAACAATACACACTCCTCTACTGACCATCCAAATGATCAAATTCTAACAATTTTATGTTTCAGAAACAAAGCCCTATTTCCAGTGGGCTTGCTATACTGGATAATAATAATAATAATGAATCTAGTAGAAGCAACTAATAGTACTTTTTTAAAAATATGGACCATTATTATTTATTGAGTATTCAGCATTGCTTCTGTTTTATGTTTTGGTTTTTTGGCCAGGAGGCATGTGGGATCTCAGCCCCCCAACCAGGGATCGAACCTGCACCTTCTACATTGAAAGGGAAGTCCCCAGGACAATTTTGTTCTAGAAGAAATTACAGGTTATAAAGAAGTAGATAAGATAATAGGTTGGGGTGGACACATCAAAAGGGAGGCTAAAAAATAGAAAAGAAAAAAAAAGGAGACTATGTATATGCATACTAACATAGCCTTTAAAATCCCTGAAATTTTGTGTTTAGGTTCAGTTTTTTCTGGGTGCTCCATCCTAACAGCGCGTCAGTTTGAGTTCAGTGGAGAGGACGGCAACAAAGGGCAGGGGGAACCCGTCTCCCCTTTCTTAGATATCCCTAACAGTGTCTAGAAAGAAAACATTTTTCATGGCATCTTAGACACATTTTAAATTAATTAAACTTACTTTTCTGGCTTTCATATATCCAAAGTTATGTCTGCTTTTGTGTTTTTACCACATCAAGTGGCAAAGTTACAACAGCTGCAAACTAACAAAAAGTAAAATTAATTTAAATTTTTCCCAAAGTATTTTATACTCTAATTAGCATATCACTTAATAAGGATGGTAATAAAATCATAACTAAACTGAAACATAAAGTGAAACCCGAGAGGTTTAAAGAGAAGCTCCTATTGAAGAGAACAGATAAAGTCTTATGTATTCCTCCCAAAGTTCAGGAGTAAGAGAATAGTCCCCTTATATTCCTGAGGTCACACTATACTAGTTGGCAGTCAGAATTCCAAGCAGACCTCTGACTGCAAAACCAGTATTCACAATTTCTGATGCTCCTGTGTGTTCCATTATTCCTTTACTACAGATGAAGGTATAATATGTACTTTAAAGCAGAAATTCAAGTACCTAGTAATTAGCATTTAAAATTTTCCAAAATTTTTAAAATTGTTAAAAAAGAAAATGGACTTTTGAACTTTTAGTGCTATATCTGTTTTCTTTATGGGTTTCAACATATTTATCAAATGTAGTTCACAAATCATCTTTAAAAACACATTTCATGCAAATCAAAACCACAATGAGGTACCATCTCACACCAATCAGAATGGCCATCATAAAAAAAGTCTACAAGCAATAAATGCTGGAGAGGGTGTGGAGAAAAGGGAACCCTCTACACTGCTGGTGGGAATGCAAACTAGTACAGCCACTATGGAGAACAGTGTGGAGATTCCTTAAAAAACTGGAAATAGAACTGCCATACGACCCAGCAATCCCACTGCTGGGCCTAACACTGGGGAAACCAGAACTGAAAGAGTACCCCAGTGTTCACTGCAGCACTGTTTATGATAGTCAGGACATGGAAGGAACCTAGATGCCCATCAGCAGACAAATGGATAAGGAAGCTGTGGTACATATACACTTTGGAATATTACTCAGCCATTAAAAAGAATTCATTTGAATCAGTTCTAATGAGATGGATGACACTGGAGCCCATTATACCGGGTGAAGTAAGCCAGAAAGATAAAGATCAATATAGTATACTAACACATATATATGGAATTTTAAAAAATGGTACTGATAACCCTATATGCAAAACAGAAAAAGAGACACAGATGTACAGAATAGACTTTTAGGCTCTGTGGGAGAAGGCGAGGGTGGGGTGTTCAGAGAGAATAGCATGGAAACAAGTGTACTATCAAGGGTGAAACAGATCACCAGCCCAGGTTGGATGCATGAGATGGGTGCTCAGGGCTGGTGCACTGGGAAGACCCAGAGGGATGGGATGGAGAGGGAGGCAGGAGGGGGGATCGGGATGGGGAACACATGTAAAATCCATGGCTGATTCATGTCAATGTATGGCAAAAACCACTACAATATTGTAATTAGCCTCCAATTAAAATAATTTAAAAATCTTCAAATTAACCAATTTAACAGTTATTTCTATAACGCCTTAATTAAGCAAGGAAGGTTTTCTGAAAGAACAAATTCCCTTAAGAATGTCTTATATTTGATATAACAGTCATGCAAAGTAAAAACCTAGTGTCTATTTTCTGTTTCCCAACTTAGATTTGGCCAATATGCTCATAAAATAACCTTTAAAGTCATTTATTTTTATTTCACCCATCAATGTAACGAGATTTAAGTTCTTGAAATCAGTTTCAAAGATCTCAGATAAGATAAAATTAATTGTTTCTCCACAATCTAACATACAGAGTTGTCCTTTCGTACCTGAGGTATATTGGCTACAGATACTAAAACCTGTGGAGTACCTGTCCCTTATATAAAATGGCACAGCACAGTTGGTCCTCCATGTCTGTGGTTCCACATCTGTGGATTCAACAGTCAAGAATCGAATTGGTTCAATCTGCAGATGCAGAACCCCTGGACAGGGAGTGCTGATGGGAGTATCAAAGGTAGCAACAATGCGGTATGAGCCTGGCACTTTGCAGAAAACCAGGGTTTAGGCTGTTCTGTTTTCTAACAGAAAGCCTGGACATTATCCCACTGATGTGCTTTTCCTGTTGCAGAGACACATTTTTATTTAACAGTTAGAAGGCAGTAATATTTTCTAAATTGTTAAAGATTTTAAAAATATTTTTTCTGTGTTAGGTAAGAAAGAGTAAAACAATGCTGGGACAACATGCTACAGCCATTCAGCTTTTTTTTTTTTTTTTTTTTAACACACTAAGTGCAGAACTGGTTCTACAATTCTGTTAGGGGTCGCTAAACATAAATGGTACTTGTTTTTCATCATTCATGGTGGATTAAGATACAAATTTTATTTATAAGTTACTTTTAATCACTTCACAAATAAGAGAAATAATGAAAAGATTTTGCTGGTATTCTAACATCTTAAATTGCTACAAAGAATTGCTCTTTTGCCTCAATATATTTATGTCCCATTAGGGTTAATTCAACATATACCAGACCCAAGAATCTTCACGTCTCAATTTTGAACACAATCTCAGGGTCTTCTGTAGCCTAGGTTTTCTGACAGTTACTCCAGTATTTTTCTGCCAGTCTCCATGACTTCACTGTGCTTCTTCACTCTCTTTATCTGGTTCCAATATGTCAGCACATCACTGTGTCATCAAAATTCATTCTCTAAGTATGTGGGGATAAGAAAGCTCTCTCTGTCCAAGATAATGGTGATAAGATCAGCACAAAGGCCCACTACATGAGTTTTCATTATGTTGAAGAGTGGCCAAAGGTGAACTCCCTACTACCCAAAAATGGTCACTGGGTACTGCTCCCTTCTAATTGTAAGTTTTGTTCAAATTCTTTTAAGAGGTACTCAGTCAGAATGTTCCCAAAGAAACAGGAATTAGCAGCAAAGGATGCAATTACTTCTATTCAATCAAGATGATACATAAGAGAGAACATTTATAAAATATTAACTAACAAGATCTACTGGTATTTAATGACCAAACTGTCAAACACTTTATGTAATAAAGTACTATCTAAACTTATTATCAATTGCACTTATCTCACACACTAGTAAAGTAATGCTCAAAATTCTCCAAGCCAGGCTTCAGCAATACATGAGCCGTGAACTTCCAGATGTTCAAGCTGGTTTTAGAAAAGGCAGAGGAACAAGAGATCAAATTGCCAACATTCGCTGGATCATTGAAAAAGCAAGGGAGTTCCAGAAAAACATCTATTTCTGCTTTACTGACTATGCCAAAGCCTTTGACTGTGTGGATCACAATAAACTGTAGAAAATTCTGAAAGAGATGAGGATACCAGACCACCTGACCTGCCTCTTGAGAAACCTATATGCAGGTCAGGAAGCAGCAGTTAGAACTGGACATGGAACAACAGACTGGTTCCAAATAGGAAAAGGAGTATGTCAAGGCTGTATATTGTCACCTTGCTTATTTAACTTATATGCAGAGTACATCATGAGAAATGCTGGGCTAGATGAAGCACAAGCTGGAATCAAGATTGCCGGGAGAAATATCAATAACCTCAGATATGCAGATGACACCACCCTTATGGCAGAAAGTGAAGAAGAACTAAAGAGCCTCTTGCTGAAAGTGGAAAAGGAGAGTGAAAAAGTTGGTTTAAAGCTCAACATTCAGAAAACTAAGATCATGGCATCTGGTCCCATAACTTCATGGCAAATACATGGGGAAACAGTGGCTGACTTTAATTTTTTGGGCTCAAAAATCACTGCAGATGATGATTGCAGCCATGAAACTAAAAGACGCTTACTCCTTGGAAGGAAAGTTATGACCAACCTAGATAGCATATTAAAAAGCAGAGACATTACTTTGCCAACAAAGGTCCGTCTAATCAAGGCTATGGTTTTTCCAGTGGTCATGTATGGATGTGAGAGTTGGACTATAAAGAAAGCTGAGTGTCGAAGAATTTATGCTTTTGAACTGTGCTATTGGAGAAGACTCTTGAGAGTCCCGTGGACTGCAAGGAGATCCACCCAGTCCATTCTAAAGGAGATCAGTCCTGGGTATTCATTGGAAGGACTGATTTTGAAGCTGAAACTCCAATATTTTGGTCACCTGACGTGAAGAGCTGACTCATTTGAAAAGACCCCGATTTGGGAAAGATTGAAGGCAGGAGGGGAAGGGGACAACCGGATGACATGGTTAGATGGCATCACCGACTCAATGGATATCAGTTTGGGTAAACTCCGGGAGTTGGTGATGGACAGGGAGGCCTGGCGTGCTGTGATTCATGGGGTCGCAAAGAGTCGGACATGACTGAGCTACTGAACTGAACTGAACCTCAATAATAACTAATGATCTAACAAGTTCAAAAGTTTCACAAAGATATAATGTACTTGTAATATAATAAAGATATAAAATGCATTTTAAAATATTTAATGGCTAGTACTGATAATTTATCTTCAAAATAGGATAATAAATACTTAGCACTTTGAGGATGCACTACTTTAAAGTTGTTCTATTTCAATAGACATGAAATGCTACACAATATTTTGTTCTGTTTTAGTAAGACAATTATCACTTTTGGAATATAACAACAAAAGAATAAACTTACAGAACCAGACAATGCCCCTGAGGTAAAGATCATAAATGTTGGTTCATATAAGCCAGATTTTGTACACAACCACCTCTTTAAGACTTCATAGTTATACCAGTACATTGCTACAAAAACAGAATAGAATGAACACATTTAGAAATGAAATGTGGACTTTACGGAAAATATTTGAAGAATATTATATATTAAAAGAAAAGAGAATTCTAGTATTGACACACCTTACTTTCTGCTTAGACACATACTAGGTGAAATCTGTAAAAACAGTAACCAAATTCTCAGTAATATTCTAGGGGTCTTATAAACAAAACTATGCGTCAGTAAAAAGTAGGACTTTAATCTCAAAACCCAACAAGAAAACGAGAGGAAAGGAGAGAGTCACATCTCATGAACACTGATGTAAAAATCCAAAAGAAGAAAAACTGAAGTATTTCATGAACTATCACACACTATGACTAAATTAGGTTATCTGATAAACACAGTGGTGGTAAACATAAGAAATGCTTTAGATACTGTGTAACACATTAACAGAACTGTAAAATCATCTACAAATGATGGAAAAGCATTCAAAGAAATTTCTTAGAAACCGAGGAATAAAAGGCAGCTTCTTCCACTGGATAAAGGATATTCATCACGAACTTAAAAATGAAATAGTTATAATTTACACATTATTCTCTACATAGAAAAAAGGTAGGCAGACAAATTAGGATTTATAACAGTTTTAGAAGAAGCTGAATATAAGCTAACAGACAAAAATCAACTCACACTGCAACATCCACAAACACCTGGAAAACTTTTTTAAATAGATTTTTTTAAATAGGCACTAACAGCTGCGGATTCTTGTACACACCCAGCGAGAGACTTAAACGATGTTCCCAGCATTGTTTGTTTATTCATGTATAAACGAGTGAAATCAAACAGCTGCACATATGAAACAAAACTTAAGAATTTTATACCTCAAAAATAGGCAAAACTGAATACCATTGTTTAGCAATAATACATATGTGGTAAGACTACTTTTTAAAACCAAGTAAGTGATAAAAATTCAGGTAAGAGGTCACCACTAAGGATGTCACAATGGAGGGGACATACGTGGTTTCCTGACTTTAAAAACTGCCGTGCTCTAATTCATTTACAGAGGTGGTGACATCACAGGTGTTTATTAGCACACTTGGTAATTTACATCCTTACTACTATTTATGTATAAAACATCAAAATAAAAAATGAACAAGTATTGGTCTAGGAATCCCTGGTGTTTCTAAAAAGCACAGCTGAACACAAAAGTTGAAGAAAAACACTTAATGGAAAGGGAAAGATACAGGACTGTGAACAGGAGTCCAAGCAAAGGATTAAATCAAAGGGAGAAAGAATGTGGAATGTTAATACAACGGTTCTCAATAATTATTTCTTACAGGTTTTAAATGGAAACATCAGATTCACAAGAGAAGTACTGCTAAAGTATGCACATTCTATAAGTTGTTAATTCTGTATTTCTTCTTGATTTTCTCCTTCATAATTCAATGGTTAGCACAATCTTGAATCTGATTTATAATGGTCCCTACAAGACACTCAAGTGGGGGAGATTTTTAATAACTGAAAAAAGTAGGAGTCAAGATAATTCACTTAAATGTTATGATATTTTGTAATTCACTTAAATGTTATGATATTTTGATTTGTAGTACTTTACATATCTTACTAATTATGACTTCTTTACAATAATTTTAAAGGTAGTTTGCATTACCTAAATATGAGTACTCACCAATTGATATTTAAAAAGAAAGAAAACACAAAGAGAAAAGAAAACCAGGCTTGAAACAGAAACTGTTCATTAAATGAATACTTACCAAGATCTGAGAGCCACACTGAACTAGGTGTGTGTGATCACCTAAGACAGTAACGTTACCTTTAGCCTTAAAGAGTCTAGAATTAAATTAAAAAAAAAAAAGTCTAGAATTTCCTTGATTTAAAAGTGGTATATACAAAGCTACTTAAAATGTAGTAGATAAATCCTACCAGAGAATGGTACATCTCTAAGAATGGTAGGCACCCAGCCCCTCCAGAGGGAAATCCAACCATCTTCAGATACTTTCTTGCTGACAAATCGATGTAGTTCCTCATAAGAAAACTTCTTAGATTGCATCTTGGTTCTAATCAATTCCAATGGCCTTATTACAGTCACTGCGCCAACTGGTACAAAACAAGAAAATACAACAAAAGCAAAGCCATGCATTACGAAAACATGCGTGCAGAAATGAGTATTTCATGCATTTTTATATTTTAAAATTTTATTCTAAAATGTCTGCAAACTGTACCTAGTATCTAATGATGGCAGCATCCTGGCTCAGATTTTTTTCCTTGATAAAGGTATTTCACATACCTTACTCTTTCAAGAGCAGTTCCACAGCCATTATACATCAACCAGGACTATTATAAACCTCACTTCCACTACACAGAGAAAAATGTCCTTCTGATTAAACTCTGAATCTTAAAGTGTATACAGAAAATGATTAAAGACTCTGGCATTAATTAGACTCTGTGTTATTATCCTAAAATCTAGAATCTAAGGTCTACAGTCTCAAATCTAAAAACTCTGTCCAAGAATTAACGGGATAGGTTGATCCTGTCCTGTTCTGATGGCAGTCTCCACACAATATGACCGCTAGAGCATAGGTATTAACACATGAGGGCGAACTACAATGCAAAATAAATCTTTACCAATACTCTATTTGAAATTCTCTATAAATGTAAAAATTTTAAAACAAGCTTTAAGTAGAAATCAGAATGAAAATATTGTGAATTTATTACTTACTTACGTCTGGCCACGATTCCAGCAACAATTGGTATGCGGCTTTCATTTTCTCCTAATTTAGATCTCAGAAGAGCAGTTAATTGATCATAGCAGGTAAAATAAATAACTGTGGCAGGGACTGCCATCACTCTGTTAGAAACATACAAACAAAAAGATTTGCACAACACTATCAAAAGGCTTAAACATACTCTTAAGTTATTATTAAGTACAAGACACAGGGCATGGTGCACGTGTGCCCTGTCATGTCAGGCTCTGAGATCCCATGGGCTGTAGCCCGCCACGCTCCTCTGTCCATGGGATTTCCCAGGCAAGTGTACCAGGGTGGGCTGACATTTCTTTCTCCAGGGAATCTTCCTCACCTGGTGATCAAACCCACTTCTCTGTGTCTCCTGCACCACCCGGGAAGCACAAAATGAAGATCCTTCTACTTTACAGAAGCTGAAAACCACAACAAATCAGCTACAAGATCAATTTTTCTTTAACAATTATCAGTGTTTAACTTAGACAACAAAAAGATGCAAAGTAGGTTTATGCTCTCCAGAAATGTAATGTAGTAGAGAAGATAAGTTTAGAGCACCCAGTCAGGTCATAAATATGAAAAGACAAATAAATTGTCTTGACTTATTGTGTGTCTGGTCTTCATTCCCAACTACATAAATTATGGTAACATGAAAATCACTAAAGTAAAAAATCTTGTAAAATTTACTTGTAAAAAAGTACAAGCACAATTATAAAATACTGTGGACCATGTCATACCTGCTTATAACTGAAAATGATGTCACCAGAATTATATATATATTCCGATGACATTCTTTCAAATGAAAATATTAAGATGGAGTTATTAATTAAATACAAAGTGGAAGGTACTATCATGTCATCAAGATTTAATGCAACAAGAAACCAGTCTCTGTTTCTGGTCTAACCAGAGGACTATCAGACCACACGTGGCAATGCCTAATACTCTACAGTGAAGTGTGGTGATGAGAACTCAGGAGCAGGACTGACTGTGCTCCTGGATCTAGCAGCAACCTTATAACCTTAGGCACTGTTTAGAGTATGTGCCTCAAAACTGACTGATGTGCTCCATAACAAGATAAATCAGAAAGAAATGGGGTGGAGAAAGGCAAGGTATTAATTGGAATTTTTACATTCAGCCTTACTAGCTTGTCATATGAATTCACCTAATACCTAGTTAGTACAGAATTATCTGGAAAATAAGTATAAATAGCACAATACCTCTCATTATTTTAGTAAAATAAAAACTCAAATGAACACTAATTTCTTAATTTCTGAACATGAAAAAATAAAGAATGTTTGTGCCCCCAAATCGGTATCTTTAGGAGGGCCTATCTGTCTGCTGGACCTTGGGTCATCTTCAAGGACTTTAGCCCTTGAAATACTCCCTGTAATAAGGCTTTTCTGTTATGTCTGGAGCACTAAACCAGCTTGCCTGCATTGATTTGTGCAAATGATGTGTTTTGGTAAACATCTGTTTCTTTTTGGGGGGCTGGAGTTTCAGTAACCACAGCCAGTCATGAACACAGCATGTGCGTATATCATCAGCCCCCACTGCAAACCCTAGACTCAGATTCAAGTGCCGGAAGGCGGAACTCCTGCACTTGCCGCGGTGGCCCGGCGGGCCAGGGGCTGGGAGAGGCGCAGGCGCCCTGCGTGTCACAAGGGGCGGGGGCGGGGGTCTCGGGAGGACTCCGCCTGGCCAGTTCCTGTTGGGCCTTTCCCCTCACTGATTCCGCTTCGTGCCTTTTGCGGTAACAAACCACAGACATCAGTATACGTCCTGTGAGTCCTTCTAGCAGATCATCAAATGTGGGGTAGTTGTGAGAGTCACAAAACAATGCTCTAGAAAATGAAAAGTTCTGATATTAAAAATGCATGATGTGTTCCATCATACTGACAGAGCAAAACACCACCACCACCATCACTAAGTAAGAAAAATACTAAATTTCAACTTATAACGTAGGAGGAAGGCCACTCCACAGGGATTTAATGCCCTCATTTTGAATGATTTTCAAAAAAGCATCCTAAAATTGTAATAGAAAAAAAGTGGTCAAAATATATACCTGATATACCTGAACCTGATATACAAAAAAGTTTATAGTGATAATTGGTATGTGATTCTTTTAAGCATTTATTTCTAAAATAAAAGCTTCCCAGATTTATATATGCCCATTCTTTAAACAGGAAAAAAAAGAATTTTTCTCAGCTTCCAGACACAAATAAAGCACTTCTAAATGACAGTTCCTGCTTACAAAATAAACCTATATTACTCAGCTTGGGATTGTTCTACTTAGGGCTAAGAAGCAATGTTTTTTGAAGATTATTATGAAAAGGAAGTGGAGGGAAGGCAGAAAGTTAGAATAACTCTCCTCTCCAATTATGAAATCTGAGAGAACATTATTTAAACCCAGTATTTGAAAGCTCTGAGGCAGAACAAAAAGCAAGTAGAAGCTAGAGGGAAGTTTACGGTTAAAAGTCAAAGTGCCATGAACGAGGTCTGCACATTTACAGCTTTTCGCCCACGGGAGCTGCAAGGAACAGTACATTTACCTGCTTGAGACGGCAAACACCAGAGTTCAGGCTCGCAGACTAATCAGAAAGTTAGAAGGGAAATCCTAGGAAAGGAGGCTACAGAGGACATTGCTGTTGCTGTTTTAGTCGTTCAGCCACGTCTGACTCTGCGACCCCATGGACTGTAGCCCTCCGGGCTCCTCTGTCCATGGAGTTCTCCAGGCGAGAACACTGGAGTGAGTTGCCCTTTTCTTCTCCAAACAGAGGACGTAAGCCCTTGAATTTAGAGACAAAGTCAGCCACAAGAGGTGGCTCACCACTCAACTGTGCAGCCCCAGGAGAAGACAACAAAAACAAACCAGACACCCCGCGGATGGCAGACAGGGTGGGAATTTCAGCTGCAGCCCACCACACTCAGTGCCTGAGTGTGACGTCTGAATCTAGCCAAAGTTAACTGCCTTTTAGAACAGAACTGAATCTTGGGAAGAATATAAAAGAACCCAGAGTCTTTATAATGCATTCTTCATAATGTTCACTATCCAATAAAAATTCATTAGACATAAAAAGAAACAAAAGAAAAAGTCATCAGAAACCAGCACTGAGATGATTAAGATGATGCTATCTGCAGACAAGAACTCCAAAACACCTATTATAAACATGTGCAAGGGGTATAAAGATTATGGGTCCATAGTGCACAGGCAAATTTGGAATTCAGCAAGGAAATAATTACTGTTAAAACTGCCAAGTGAAAATTCTAAACCTGAAATGAGAAATTAACTAAGTGGGCTTAACAGCAGAAAGGAGGCAGCAAGGAGCCACTGAAGACAAATCTAATATTAAATTGGAAGAAGAGAAAAATAATGAAGAAAAATGGGAACTTCCCCACGGTCCAGTGGTTAAGACTCTATGCTTTCACTGCCAAGGGTCCAGTTAAATCCCTGGTCAGGGAATGGTGATCCAGCAACCCATGTGGCATGGACAAATAAAAAAAAAACCAAAACCTTAGAAAAATGATCAGAGGCTCAGAAACCTGGGGGAAATATCAAGCGGTACAGCACTAGTTTATGTGGAGTCATAGAGAAGAGGAGAGAAAACAAGAGGAAATTACCTGATGAAATGATGAGCGAAAACCTCCCTGAATTAGTGAAAGGTATCAACTGACAGGGTCCCAAATATAAAACAAACAAACCCAAGTGAATAAAAAACAAAAAACAGTAGAGGAAAATGACAAAATACATATAGGGAAAGGATGAGTAAATGAAGACCAACTTCTCAGCAGACACACAAAAGGCCAAAAGACAATGTAATGACACATTTAAGGTGATAAAAAAAAAAAGCAAGCCAGAATTCTGTATGCTGCCAAATACATGTCAAAAATGCTTTAAAAAGACATTTCTATAGAACAAAAACAGAGATTACATTGCCAAAATACCTTCATTAAAGAAATGCTGAAAGAAGTTCTTTAGGATAAAGGGTCATTGTGACACCACGTAACTACCATCTTCAGAAAGGCAGGAAGGACAAAAAAGGTGGGAAATATATGGTTACAGGTGAATATGTATTTCTTTTTAACTATTTAAAAGACATAAGACTATTTAAATTGAAAATTCTGTGAACTATGGCATCTGTAAAGTACTAGGATGTGCCATCGTGAGGCAACAGCACAGACGAAGAGGAGGTGGTAAGGGCATCAGGACATGAGGGGCCTGAGATCCACTCTACTTGCGAGTCAGCAAGTCGGCCTGCATGGCATCATGAGAGCCCAAGTAAAGACGAAACTCTCTGGGGTGAGACATAAAGTCCATCATCGCAGCAACAGCAGCAGCCAGAGTATCGGCACTCTGATCCCTGTATCGGGGGCCCCAGTTCCCACAGGCAGTGTGAAGAAGGCTGGACGACACCTGAACACACAGTGGATGCACCACAGGAGAGGAAACCTGACCCCAGGGGATCCAAATCATTTACAACAGGGAGTAAGGATGCCTGTATCACTTCATTCTCCAAACAGCCTTGAAAAGATGATCAGGAACAAAGGATAGACAATGCCACGCATATGAGATATGCCCAATGTGAAACACTTTTGAAGAACTGTTTGCCTAGAAACGGGAATTGAGGAATCAATATGTTATTAAAATTCAAACCAATAACAGGAAAGGAGGAAAAAAGGGAATTAGAAAAATATACAAAAATAGATTAATACTCCAACCATATGAAAAATTATATTAAAGGACTAAACTTTCCAATTAAAAGTTACAACATCAACAGCCATCTGCATACTATCTGTGGAGTCTCTAGGGCTTCCCAGGTGGTGCTAGTGGTAAAGAATCCACCTGCCAATGCAGGTTCGATCCCTGGGTCAGGAAGATCCCGAGCAGGAAATGGCAACCTGCTCCAATATTCTTGCCTGGAGAATCCCGTGGACAGAAGAGACTGGCAGTTCATGGGGTCACAGAGGGTGACAGAACAGACAGAACTCTATCACCATCTTGGAGTAAAAGAATGGAAAAAGACAGGCTACATTAACACTATTATGAGAAATCGAAAAGCTGCAAGCTGAAAGGTGGCTATACTACATTCAGATAAAAGACTTCAAGATAATG